GGGGTCAAGTCGGCTGTTAAACCTTTCCATCAATATTTATGACCATTAATATCAAATACCGCCATAATTAAAATGAAGTTCTAAGAAATAAATTTTGCTAAAATATCTTTTTCTTTTGTTGAAATAAATGCATGATCTATACTTGGTGCCAGATGGGTTTGGGAGGCTACATAGAAAAAGGTCACATTCACTTCAAAAGTTAAAATTTTCATCTTAAAATTTAACTTACATGGTTCTGATTAATAAAATTAATTTTAAAAATGAAAGATAAATTGATATGATTCAACAAAAAAAATCCTAAAATAGATAATAACCAGAGTAAATATTGTGATATTCGTATCCTAAGTTGACTCTAGCTAAAATCTGACAATGAAATTATAAAAAAAAGGTTACATGCACACATCATTTAATAGGGTTACTAGCACGTAGCTCTTTATAAAGTTGATCAAATGCAGGAGTGTCAGAAGAAAAGGGAAGTAAACATTTAATAACTGTAGTGGAGAATTGATAAACATAAACAGCAAATGATACCAAAAAGGTCCAAAAACCAAAACAACAAATGGATAAACATGTGAATCCCTTTACTGACAAATGAAACTACAAAATGATCATCAAATTAAAGGATAACAGAAACCACATACTCCAATGCAACTTGGTTGTTGAAGCATTGCCATCTATTCCTTTGCTGTCAACCTTAAATCAGTCCTAGCTAGACAAACCTCCCCTCCAGTCTGGCCCCTTCTCTTTTTTGTGAAGATTTTGCTTAATTTTGAACTTTTTCTCTCCTTTTGTTTTTCACATGTTTTACTTACGTGGCAATTTTGAAATGTGGTCAACATAAATAAAATATGGTAGCTGGAGCTTTGTTCTGAGATGAAGGTGTTTGATAATAACAAGGTCATTTTTGAATCAAACTTCTAATTGGGGTCACTCTTTAGTCTTCACCCCACCAAAAATAGAAAAAGAAAAAAATCTCATGTGCATACAGTAACATGAACAAACTTGCATCTATATAAACTCTATCTCTTCCCTCTTCTCTTTCTCTTATTCTGCCTTAGTTTACTTGAATCAAACCTTGAGACAGAAGGGAAGCAGAGTCTGCTTTTTTGACCTTCAATAGTTCTATTTAATCTTGTGTTATCTTTCCAAGAATTTACTCAAATTAAATATCCTAAACAGACTCCATCTAGGCCACCAATATAATGGCACTAATTTATGCCATACTAATTTTCACTCATCTAATAGGAATTTCACAAAGCAAACTCCAAGTTGGTTTCTATGGCCAAACATGCCCTAATGTTGAATCCATCGTTAGTGGTGTTGTCAGTGAAGCTGCAGCCTCCAACCAAAATATAGCTCCTGTTTTGCTTAGACTTCATTTCCATGACTGCTTTGTTCAGGTCCAATTCAAAGAATTAATTAAACTCTCTTTGATTCATTACCACATCCTTATTTATATATTAATCTTTTTTAGTGATAATATAATTATTATTCTTGTTGATCGACCACCAGGGCTGTGATGGATCAATTCTAATAGAAAATGGAGAAAAAGCAGAAAGGCATGCATTTGGGCATCAGGGTGTTGGAGGATTTGAAGTTATAGAGAAAGCAAAAGCAGAGGTTGAAACTGTTTGTCCTGGACTTGTTTCTTGTGCTGACATTGTTGCTTTGGCTGCTAGGGATGCTATACTCTTGGTATTAATTCCTCTTCTTTCTTTATCTTTTTAAAAAGTGCATTACTTATTATAACAGTAAATAGTAAGTTAGCTACTACTATAACAAGTTAAATGAAAAAAATATTTATATTGCCCTTCAATATAAGTGAAGAAGTTAAATTGAATTAAAGTGTATGATAATGAATAATTGCATGCACAGGCAAATGGCCCTTCCTATGATGTGGAAACAGGAAGAAGAGATGGGGTGGTTTCAGACTTATCTTTGGCTGAAAACATGCCAGATGTTGAAGATTCCATTCAGCAACTCAAAGCTAAGTTTATGGAGAAAGGCCTCTCTGAGAAAGACCTTGTGCTCCTCAGTGGTACGTTTTATAATATACTCACTATCTCCATTTTCATTTTCTACCCCTTCCCCATTCACTATACATTCATATTTTGTGGTTACCAATTGATTCTTATCGAAATCTACTAGCTATAATTATCTAATAAGTAATGTAACTGTGTAATTATATATTAAACCATCAGTACAAAGAACTACCCTATATATTTTTTAAGGAGGTAGAAACTGAAGGATAAGTTAAAGGCTCGACCTTGGTTCTTTATTTATTCCCTGACCCTCCCTTCTCTTTTATTTGTCACTTTTGCCTTTTGCAGAAAATTCTAATTAAAAGAATAATTTGACTAAATTACCCCTATTTTTTCTTTGATCTCAATTTATTATTAAAAGATATTCTTTATAAACGACAAGTACTTTGAAACAATCATGTTTAGTAAATACTCATTTGATAAGTAAAACGGAACGTAGTGAATATCTATTTATTTTGGCTTTCTAAGATTCTTCTTCCTGTTGGAGCTAATTATGCTTTCATACGTCTCTGTTATAATCTTTATATAGAACATTAAATACGTGAAGACGTGAGTCATGTTTTGTCCCTTAGCTAATGAAGTCGATAAAAATCACTTCCATATTGCTATAGCAACTTTTTCTTAATTTGCTTATGACCAACAGAAAGGTTTTCAAATTAAATGACTTGTTTTGCTTGTGGTAACTAACTTTCCGTCTGAATTTTTTTTTGTTTATGTTCGATTCAGTTTCTGTTCTACTAATTAAACGTCACGTGATTACTTAATTGATGGACCATGATCACCAAAAAGTTTATATCAAGAATTAATTGGTGAAACGACCACACACTTGAAGTTGCACATACAGCCCTGTTTAAGATGCTTAGAAGTACATTATTTTGATTATTTATAACCAAAAATAGAGATCACATCTTCGCACAGTATCTTTTCAAAGTTATACAAACTTGATATTGTATATATATATGTGCAGCTGCACATACAATTGGTACCACTGCATGTTTCTTCATGACCAAAAGGCTCTACAATTTCTCCCCCAATGGAGGTTCCGATCCATCGATAAACCCTAATTTTCTTCCCGAGTTGAAGGCTACTTGCCCGCAAAACGGAAATGTTAACGTCAGGTTAGCGATCGATCGGGGCAGCGGCGAAGCATTCGACAGTCAAATTCTGCAGAATATTAGGAGTGGCTTTGCTGTGTTACAATCTGATGCAAATTTATATGGAGATGAGACGACAAGGAGAGTTGTGGATTCTTACTTTGGGATTCTTAGCCCCTTATTGGGGACATCATTTGAGGCTGATTTTGCCAATGCAATGGTAAAAATGGGCAGAATTGGTGTACTTACTGGCTCTCAAGGAACTATTAGACGTGTTTGTGCATCTTTTTAGTTGATACAGTTGTAATTACTTATACAGCAAAACAAAATACCAGATATATATAGTTGTACCTCTAGATTATGTACTTGTGTAGCGAAAAATGTTGTATAATACTGAACTTCTAATAGTATGAACCAGTGTTTTATTGTAGGCCCTAATTCTTATTATTTCTCTTCACCTTCTACTGGGTGAAGAAAAAATAATCAATTTGCAAATTACAAAACAAACATGCATCATCCTTCATGATTTATTTTGGTTCAACCCTTCTGATTGTAAGTTCCTTCTTTGTCCTTTTTTTTTAAATTTCGTTTCAAGTTATTTTGCTTTCAAGTTAGTTTATAAATGTTTATTCAATATTTTTTCAGGGGATTTTTACCTTCCTATATTTGAAACTTTCTTACCCTCCCTAATTAAGTTTTAACTTAATTACATGGCCATATACAATTTATCAATTATATACAAATTAGTTTTAAATGAGTATCCCTTTAAATTAGGAATTGAATAAGGAATCTGTTATTTCTCATTCCTGTTCTCTCTCTCTCCTGCGCTCTCTCCCTCTGTCTCTCTCTCTCTCTCCTGTGCTCTCTCTCTGTCTCTCTCTATCTCTCATTCTCTGTTCATTCCCCAATTTTTCTTCCTCTGATGTTCCCTACTTTTTATCATTTCGTGTTGTATATATTTTTAATGGAATTCATCAATGGATTTCAATTGTTTACTATAGAGTTTTAACTTAGCAATTTTCTTTCATGTTGCACAATTGGTGTTCAAATTGAAACTGTCAATCAATAAATTTTAAAGGTGTTTGACTCTCCACCTTCAATAAATTTTAAAGCTTTGAAATCGAATTTGGGTTTTCAAAAATCATTATTTGTTTGGATTGGGTGTTGTTGCAAACAATTGAGAATATTGTTTGGCGTTTATATCTCAATTTTGAAGGTATTTGGTAAATATTAGACTTGATTTTGGCTGAATTTCAGATTGAAACTCGACGACGAACAAGAAGAAAAACACATGACATACAATATACTTACGAAATTGTAGTAAAGTTGTATTATAATTGTATGTAAATTGTATTCTGTTGTAGTTATATATTTGTTTTTATTTGAATGTTGTATGAAATTTGAAAAATAGTTGTATAATGTCTGAATCATTGTATAAAATTTGTATTTAAGTTATCAATACTATCTTTTTACATAAAGTTGTTGATATGTATTAAAATTATATTAAGAGAGTAAGTTTTGATTGGAACTTTAGAGAGGAAGAAACACACACCACATACAAAATATATACAAATCAGATACAAAATATACAAAAAACATATTGTATAAAATTTGTATGAAAATTGTATTTAAGTTGTATGATGTAGTTGTATTTAACTGTGTATAAATAATGTATGAAAGTTGTATAATATATAATTAATTATATGTTGTTGTAGATGTATCAAATTTATAATAAATTTATTTTAAAATTGTATGCTGGTGTATCATTTATTCTTTTCTTACTTGATTTGTTAAAGAAAAAAAATAGAGAATAAATTCCAAATCGACTCATGTACTCTGATTTATATTTGTTTGAACTGAAAAATCAATGATTCAATTTATTAGATGCTATTCCATGTGTGGGTTGGGCCAAATACATGAGGAAATAAGTTTCATAAAAATCTTTTGTGTTTGACTTCTTGTAGCAATGAGCAGCATCAGCATAAGCTTTAACAGCTTCAAATTTGCTATCCAACTTAAGATGACAATTAGCCAATTTAATGTACACTGCTCCGGCTTGATCCCATGATTTGGCGAGTTTGAGGCAATTGCCAGCTTTATCGAAGATATCAGCGGCGTCTTCGTATTTGGAGCCAAAAAGGCCCCATCCGCTCAGCTTCTTCTCTGCCTTCTTCTCGAAATCTTCACTTCTTGCGATTTGATCCCCCATTGTTTCCTGGTAAGAACAAAAGGGCGATCGATAGCAACCCAGATTCTTTTCTTTGCTTCCTCTTTGGGTGAATCACGCTTTAAAGAAGAAAACACAGCTGGAAAGAGACTCTTTAAAGGAATTGTATATCAATTGATAGATGCTTTGTAATGGCCGGAAGTAATGCCTCGTAACTTGAATCCGAGTTTATCACAATTTTGTCGACATTGAAATTAACATATCGACCACTACTATCCCATCGACTATTATGTTGAAGCATGGCTGCCATTGCCACCATTGAAGTAAAAAACGAAGCTATTTATCTAAATCATCGTGATTTCAATACTTTGCAACAAAATTAGTGTGTTTTAAAGCTTGATAATATCGTTATATTTTAAGTAACTGTGGAGAATTTGTCACTTGTGTATGAGTAGATCGTTGATGGCAGAGAGAAAACAGGGATATTTTTCGTGATTTTGCTGATCAAATGAGTAGGTTAATCATGTAGAATCCGTTGGAAACTTGATCTCTTAATTAGAAGCACTAATTTAGGAATTAATTAAGGTGTCTGTTAGATGGTAGGAGTCTAATTACGTGAGATTGTATATAGTTTGTAAAGTAAACCGAGACATCAATGGTAATTTAAGAAAGTTAGTTAAACCGGGTAATACACTTATTGATTTAGTACGTATAGGAAAAAAATCCCTTTTTTCAAAGCTTGATTAGGTTTTAGGTCAATTGCTGACCAAATTAGCGTTTTAAGATGAAGTAAGTTGTATATACATTCAACTTATATTATATTTTCTTGATTTTTTACAATTTCTGTGTAGTTTTACTTTATTTTAATATTTTTTTAATAATATATTAAAAATTAAAGATTCGGGTAGCTTACGCCCAACACTTCGGGACTTATGCCTCACCCAATAACAGGTAAAACAATTCGTCTCACGCTTGCGCCCGCCTTTTGAAACGCTGGTATCAACATCCAAGTTCTTAAAGACGATTACTATGTAGTAAGTAATTCATCAACTCTCAATTAACTTCATTCAGCATTCTTAAGTCATACAACAAATGTAACGGAAATTACAACAAAATAAAACGTAAAGGAAAAAGAGTTATAGAAGTTACTACTTTGCAGTACTGGTTGAAATGATTGTTACAGAAGGGTGTTTCATAGTACAAGCATCTCGATAATTTAAAATGCGACTTGAAAAGTATGATTCGATGTGGATTCGTTTGTCCACCATATTTTGTAGGAGAGAAGGTGTTCTTGGCTTGAAGTCATTGGTTCTGTTTCAGTAGAATCCTCTTTTTTGTGTTAAGGAAGTGTATTGCTGGTTTTGTATGTTGATATACTCTTAGTTCAAATATCTCAATAGAATATATTAAATTGGTACTAAATGTTTGAGAAGTCAATTTTTTCTTGGGAATTTCAGCTCCAGCTAGTCCTCCTTTGGAAGAAGTCGACAAACTTTCTATCAATATAAAGTAGGCCAGTGGCAAAGTTCTGTGTGTAACTCATGTGACCGCCCTCTTGCCTTTGTTTGTATTACTGCAGTCATCTGCTAATGTGTTACCCACAAATACAGCACTTGATTTTAATGAAATATGAAATCAAGAGAAGCTTATTTCTGCACTCTCTGCCCTCGTCTCGCTGGAATCGCCAGACGTAAAGTTTTTTCTTTGTCCATTGATTATGCCCAACTATACCTTATAAAAAGGATTAAGCGATCGTTGCAAATATAATCTGATTTACAAGTCCGGAGTCGAATCCCACAGAAAATTAACCTATTAATTCCAATCACTAGTCTCGCAAGAATTCAATTAATCAACTTCCAGAAATATTGAATAATGAGTTGAGTGTTTACTAACTAAAAGCAAAATAATTAAAATGATGTAAATTTATAACTAACAAAGTAAAAGTTGTAAATAAGATTGGAAAAGTCTAAGGTTATGATTTCCCCAATTGTCGGAAACTCCCCCGCTACATTTCCTATAAATTCGCCTTAGTATTCTCTACCGATTGTGAGTACTTTGGGTGTCGTAGTTCTCTTTCGAGCAACTACCATAATTTACTAGACGTATTCTTTCGAACTACGCTAGCTGACATTAATTCACCGCTCACTATGATCGCATCAAAGTTTCGTTATTTCTAATCCCGCCTTTAAACCCTCCGTATTGATTTCTCAAATACGTTAGGAGTGATGTTGTTCAACGACTACCTAAATGCGTTCCCTTTTTCAAGCAGTACACACTAAATAGGCAAGGTTAATTGAGAGCTCTTCAATCAACAACAAAGAAAACATAGTTGAACAAATAGAGAAAGATTAACGGCAAATTTATATTAAATGCAGTGGAAAATCATCCTTCAACAGGTTCCATCAAACCCTAGATGAGAAAGTTTAGCTACTCATAAATGTATAAATAATCATCATGATGTTCAAAGACATTAAACTACAAAGTAAAGAGAAACGAAGGGAAACTTGTTTGATTCCTTGCTCCACAGTGCTCTGTAGCCTTTTTTTCTTCTCCAAATAATGTCCACCCCCTCCTCAACTCATTTTGGGAGTTTTTATATGTTAGGGTCGAGGTTTTTGAGTCCAAATTCGGGTCGGAGTATTTTTATGTCACGAACAATTGGTCACCGGGGGCCTCACCTCGCGAGGCCAACCTTGTAGTGCGCCTGGGGCCTCGTGAGGCAAGGCCTATAGCGAGACCAAGCTAGCTACAGAGCTGGCGACGCCTGGCTTGTAGCCAGGCTTGGGTACTTTATATTTTTGTGCTCTTTTCTTACATTTTTGTCCTCTTTTCGTGCAACTTTCACTCAATTTTGTCTTCCGATACTCCTACAAATAGAATAATATAATTTAGCTCAAATGTTGCACAATTAACCACTAAACCAATAAAATATAAGGAGAGTAATGTACTAAAAATATAAAATTATGGCCAAACATCACCACCCCATACTTAAACATTGCTCGTCCTCGAGTCAACCACTAATTCACACTAATATTGAGCACTTTATTCTCTTTCAACACATCCAAAGTACACCATACCTATGGCTATGGTTGATAACAACAATTAAACTTTAGTATATGCCTTTAACACACACTTTCCTTTACTTGATGCCATACTTCAAAAATTTATTAAACACCAAGACAACATGCTCATAACAATCCTAGTTTCACAAACCGACTCAATATCACAATACATTCATGGCTTGAACACTTAACATCATAGAGAAATCTAATAACGTCACCTATCCCTTGCGAAATCATGTGCTCTCACAATAAGAACAAAAGAGTAATTTGCATCCAGACATCCGAATCAAATGCTCAAATATATTTTAAGGACTCACATATTCCTCACTCTCACAAAGAAGTCATATGCATGCACAAAGCACTATAGGCTTGCTCTTTATATAAACCTCTACTAATGTAGGCTCGCTCGATCTAAAATCAATTAGGACATTTTCATAATTGTAATGTGGGCTAAGGGACATGTAGGATATATTTAGGAATAGTGGCTCACCTCTCTTAAACACTTTAGCACGCCACATATTTAACTTTAAGCGCAAATTCCTTAATTCCAACTTCAAGTTCACTAACAATATCATCCCAAGAGCTTCCCTTTCTCTTTAAGCACTACTTTACTTTCCACCTACTAGCAAGGATAATATATCAACTTATTCGTCTCTCTCTCTCTCTCTCTCTCTCTCTCTCTCTCTCCNACGTGTACCTTTTCTCGTTCATTGGTTTCACTCAAAATCCACCCAAGTTCCCTCCTTACTTCTTCTAGCGCTCATTTTATAATTAAAGTTTTTAAAGAGGTACAAGGATCAAAACAATGACAATTAATAACAAAAGGGATATATGCTTATAATGTGGTCGCCAAATAAAAGTGTATAGGCTCAAAAGGATTGTTTAGGGATAATTTTTATTTGTGGTAAGCATTAAACTCAAAAAGATCAAAGAAAACCTAAAATTATTTTTCAAACCGAGCAAAGCCTAGGATTTCGCTTCAACTCACATGCCAGGTAAGTTCTAGACTCTAACGCAATGACACGGACTACACAATTTCTCAACACACATGGCACATAACTCACTAAGGACGATTCCATTCCGACTCTCAAATAATTGCAAGTATTCACGGAGCCATAAATTATTAAGCATTAAGCACAAAGTGAAAACAAGCCAAGAAAATGAGATATAGGCGTCAATAGACATGCTATCTAACTCAATAAGGCCTCATAAGCAACTTCAAACCATAGGGAAGACAATACACATGCTAGAGCCTAAATATGCTACTATCAAACAAGTCAAAAGAACCAACAAGAGTTGTGATAGAGTGCTAAGTATTCCTTAATCCTTAACTAGAGATCTCGGTGTTCGAGCCCCTAGGTATGGAGTCACCTTTGTTAGGGAGCGCTTTACTCCCCAATGTGGAACTTCCTGACGCGAATTTAGATTTAGTCGGGCCCCAATATGGGTACTGGACACCGGGTGGAAAACAAAAAAAAAGAGTCAAAAGGCGCATAGAAATATCATTTTTCCCGTCCTTTTGTTTCTACATCCTAATTTACTCTAAAAATGAAAAAAACTACTAATCGGTTTAACTACATCATATGAAAAAGAACCGAGGTAAAAAGAAAAACTACAGGAGATTATTACTACCTACAAAAATAAAAAGGCATTTTTGGATTTTTCTATTTTTCTATTTTTTGTGTGTTTTTGGTTAGACTTTAATCCCTCAAGAAAACTGCCTAGGAAATCCATCGTCGGGAAAAGTTCAATCATTTATATATGAAGCTGCAAGTCCAACATCCCATAGAAATGGGCCATAAAGTTGTCATCCTGAGCATTGCGCTCGACACCTGTAAGTGATGACATATCGTTCTCCTCTTTCGCCCGGATGCTGGTGATGTCTGTCCCTCGGAGGGGTGTTGGAATGACTTATGGGTGTTTAAACGGGCGGGCTGGGACGGGCTGTACACAAAAAAAACTAGCCCGTCCGTTTAACGT